ATTCTCTCACTGAATTGATTTCTTAATTATATCAAACCTGTGTCCAAAATTATTTAAGGTAGACTACAATGAGAAACACAGGTAAGGTGACCTTCCACTTCTGGCCATTGAGAAAGCATCTAACTAGCCCTCTTCTATATAGATCTGCAAAACTGGACACTTCTTTTCAAGGTTTGGATGGGTACAGTAGCTGACTAGTCTCTCAGGGAAGGTGAACCACATGAGGAAATCCCTTTTCTCCATCTCTGCCAGGGGCAACATCTCCATAGCTCAGAAGGCAGGTGAAGGACAACTAAGCATAGCAGTGTGGGGAGCTGGGAGTCAGGGTGGCATTTGGGGTCCCAGAAGTAGGGGACCAGGTTGGGCAGGTGTTGCTCAAGAGGGATGGATGCACAGGGGCCTCCAGCTCACGTTGTCTCTAACAGATTGGATCCCAAAATCACCTGCAAAATTTGATATGAGTCTTTCTTACTGGAGTTTAAATCTGTGAAGTCATGAGTCAATAAGACTTTATTTCAAAGTTTTAGGTTTTTCTTCCACTCCATCTGCTGAGTAACACTGTAATTACATGAATTAGTCACATCCCTGAAATTGTCTTTCAGACATTAGGTGTTCATCCAATTTCCAAATAAAATGGTCACTTTTTCCTCCCCTGGACACACTCTCATAAGTTTTACAATCACACTTTTAGAAAGTGACATTACAATATGCTAAAACACTTAATTTGTGATGAAAATAAGGGAAACATGTTCTTTTGTTGGGGGGGGGGTGATGTCATAATTGAACCCAGGGCTCCATATATACTAACTATATGCTACTTCTAAGTTACCCCAGCCCTGTTTTTAAAAAAAGTTTTATTCTTAAAATTACATTAAAAAATCATTACTCTTCCATCACATTACTCTTTTATTTTATTTATTAACACTTCTTTAATTTTTCTCTTCTGCTTTTATTCATAAATTTTTCTTATTTTTCAAGTTGCTACTCTGTTATCCTTTCATATGATTCTTTCACTTGCTCTCGTATTGATTTATTTCCAAAGACATTGAAAATTGAGGTACTTTGCCCTCTTAGCTGATTATAAGAATCATTTGCTGAACTTAGAATAATGGATCCCAGCAGGTCCAATGAAACAATTCTTCATGGAGGAGCCTAGGGATATATTTAAATAAGCCCTACAGGTGTACCTTATTATAAGCTGAGTATGGAAGTTGATCTAAATAAAAGTTGGTTTTATGTGCTTTTTTTTCTCCCAACATTGGGGTTCAAACCCTTGAACATGATAGGTATTTCTGCACCACTGAGCTACAGCGTGTTTTTTTTGTTTGTTTTTATGAGTTAAATAGCCACAAAGTTAACTGTGTCTTTTCCAACCCTTATCTAACTCAGTATATAGGTCTGAGGGCCCTCAATGACTAAATTGATATTTAAAAAACATTATATATTACATTGTAATATAATATCTTATTAAATATAAATATAAACATGCTGTTAAAATGTGGATGCATTTAGCTTTATTTGGCCTATTACCTGAATGTTTGCCCACTGGGAAATTACAATGAAATGAGCTTTTACTAAAAGTTACTTGTTATTTTTTAATTTATGATATAACCTAATAACATCTGATCATAATTCCTATCTTTGATGTTTATACTTAGGAGGGAAAGATCCACTTTAGTTGATAAATTCATTCAAAAAATGATGACTGAATTACTACTAGCCTTATTCTAAGTCATATGATTACAAAAATGAACAAAAGATGTACAAATCCTTAACTTCAGAAAGCTCACCATCCTGTTGTTCCATTTCTCATCTACTCACCTGTGCAACTCAAAGACAGGCCACTTTGGATTTCAAGTATATTCAGTTTGCTTCAGAATGATTTTAAATTTTCTCAGTTGACAAGAATAAGTATGACCTAACAAATACTTCGGTGACAATAAACCAAGAGAAACTTGGCTTGCTTTCATGAAAAAAATTTAGTGGATTTAGATACTTTTCCTGAGAATGAATACTGTTACACACAAAAATGGGTGGTAAAGAAATAAGAAGAAACCTCCACTCAGAAACTCAAGATATTTTGATAATGTTTCAAGCAAAAGTCTAAAATTCTTCCTCTTATAATGGGACATATGAAGACAAATATTCTTGTGATAATTTTTAATAAGGTAATTCTCATTTTAAATATAATTTAATAGCTCTATTTATATATATGAACCAGTTTATTTATTTCCAAAATCTTTGGTTCACTATATACTTCAACTTTATAAACATTAAACGTTATGTTGATTATGCCCATGTTTATAGCAGCACAATTCACAACAAACAAACTATGGATCCAGCTAAGATGCCTGTCAATGGATGAATGAATAAAGAAAATGTGACATATATACACAATGGGATTTTATTCAGCCACAAATAAAAATGAACTCATGTCATTTACAGGAAAATGGATGGAACTAAAGGCCATTATGTTAAGCAAAATAAGTCAAACTTAGAAGGTCAAGATTCTGATGTTTTCATATGTAGAAGCTAGAGAGGAAAAAGGATGAGAAAGGTAGGGACAGATCTCATGAAAATCAATGGGAGAACAGTAGACCAAAGGGTAGGAGATGAGGAGGGAGGGGGCATGTGTTGAGGAGTGACATTAGCCGAATTATATTGTTACACTGTGTGCATGTATGAATTGTCACAGCAATCCCATCATTATGTACAACTATAATTCATCAATAAAAACGTGGAATAAAAGTTATATTGATTAAAAATTAGAGTAATAACTCTTAGATGTTTAAATTGTGAAAACTATTCTTCAAATTGCTATCAGACACAGGATAAAAGTTGTATTTTGCCTCTTAAATGGGTAAGTTAAAATAGCCATGTCTGACTGGGATGGAACCACCATTTGACCCAGCTATCCCACTCCTCAGTTTATACCCATAGGACTTAAAAATAACATACTACAGGGACACAGTCACATCAATGTTTATAGTAGCACAATTCACAATAGCTAAATTGTGGGACCAATCTAGATGCCCTTCAGTAGATGAACAGATTTTTTTAAAAATGTGGTATATATACACAATGGAATACTACTCAGCATTAAAAGAGAATAAAATCATGCCATTTGCAGGTAAATGAATGGAGTTGGCGAATATAATGCTAAGTAAAGTTAGCCAATCCCCAAAACTAAAGGCCGAATGTTTTCTCTGATATAAGGATGATGTTATATAATGGGGAATATGCGGGGGTGGGGGGAAGCATGAGAGGAATGAAGGAACTTTAGATAGGGCAAATGGGAGGGAGGGGAAGGGAGGGGGCATGGGGGTAGGAAAGATGGTGGGATGAGATGGACATCATTACCCTAAGTACATGTATGAAGACAGAATGGTGTGACTCTACTTTGTGTACAACCAGAGACATGAAAAATTGTACTCTATATGTGTAATATGAATTAAAATGCATTCTTCTGTCATACATAACAAATTAGAATAAATAAAAAAATAAATAAAATAGCCATTTCTGGGATAGAGGGGTGTAGGTCAGTGGCAGGGTGCTTGACAAGCATGCATGAGACCTTGGGTTCCTGACCCAGCACTGAAAATAATAAAATAAAATAACCATTTATCTTGTGATCTATGAAACAAAAACTCTAACTCTACAGAAACCACATGCATGGAAGCAGTAGGGGAGGAGAAAAGGGTAAAAAATATCTTTAGATTTTTATTCCTTTTTTTTTCCCCTTAGCTATCAGGGAATGAATCCAGGGGCACTTAACCACTGAGTCACATCCCCAGTCCTTTTTAGTTTTGAGACAGGGTCTCGTAAGTTGTTTAGGTCTTTGCTAAGTTGCTGAGGCTGGCTTTGAACTTGTGATTCTCCTGCCTCAGCCTCCCAAGTTGCTGTGATTACAGGTGTGTGCCACCGTGCCCTGCATAGATTTTTACTTCTAGACAAATCTTTATGAACCTTTTGTAGGACTATTTTTAAAAATATATGAAGAGATTCCTGTAGGTAAATATGCTGCTTTATGGATTAAGCTCTTTATTTAAGTTCAGTTTGCCATATATACACATGTGAAATTCAATGGGTCCTAAGTTTCAAAGAATATGTACTTTAAACTCTGTTGGTAATTATCAGGTAATATAAATATTTTGCCTAGCTGATCATTCTTTTTTTTTTTTTTTGCTCTTGAGTCACCGATTTATTAATTCTCCTTCAAAATAAAAGTATAAGACAAAGGTTCTGAAGTTCTTCTGCCAAGACCTTTTATATGCAGAAAGATAGAGGTGGCAATTAAAAGTTACCCTTAACAATTCATTAACATATTATGTTTTGAGATTAAAGGTCACATGGGGGGGCGTAAAGCATTAAATCTTTGAAAATAAATATCAAAAAGGAATTTCTTACAAATAAACTCAAGTAACAACAAGTAAGATCGACATTTTTGCCAATATTTTCAGTTTCATCTACAAATTTATTTTAAATGACTTTATTGTTCAGAAGTCCATTTCCTATTGCACTGTAAACAACTAACTGTTCCCTCTAGATTCAATGTTCCTTTTTTATTACCAGCTCTGAATACAAAGGCTTATGACTTCCAGGCTCAGGACTGTATTTCTTCAACTCAATCAGAAAATTTATGGAGGGGGCTTGAGAAATCTAAAACTTGTACATAAAGAAATCATTCTATTTTGTTCCTGACAATATTATTTTAGTTTCTGCTTACGTATGTAAAGTGACAAAATACTTACAACCTTATAAAGCTGATCCCTGAAATCAGGAAAGGCCCAGAAATGATGTTTGCTAAATTCAGCTTTCAAGATCCTGGATGTTATACGTGTACATACATATATTTATGTATGACAGGTGTTTAGGAAATCTGGCTTCGCTTATCTGTGAAGGTTACGAGTTGGTTATGTAAAGCTAGGAAGAGTTGTAGTTTAAAATTTCTTATTCTTCAGAGTAAACTGGAAATGTCATCTAGGCACCAGTAAACGCCAGTCATGCATTTTAAATTACAAAGACCACCTTTGTATTTGTAGATTATCACTGGGATTGGGAGGGTATCCAGATGGGTAGGCAGAGATTCCACTTGGCATGCCTGGCATGTAGGAGGTATTTGGTGGCCCTGTTGCTTGGTATGGTGGATAGGATGCTGAAATAATAGGACGAGAGAAGGCTGGTGGTTCATCTCCAAATACCACAATCATAACCTGAATAAGCCCCAACAAGTCTGACTGTGGATGTTTCCATTCATGTAGATAAGGAAGACATATTTTCCCATTTTCATCAACATGCTTTCCTGTCTTAATAGTCATTGAACTAGTAGGTTTAACAAAACAGATAGGGGGATTATATGGGTATGTGTCCAGCAGCCACAGGCATATTGGAATGTTGTATGTATTACCTCTATAAGGCACAGGAATTGTTCCAGTAAGATTCATTAATTCCCTGGAACTGCCATCATTAAAAACATATGAATCCAATACAGGTTTGAGATCTTTGTACAGAGTAATAACATTGACAGTTTCACGTACAGTTAGGTCTCTGTATTTGAACTTGGACACCATTTTCTTGAGCTGGCTCTCCGACACCGCCATGACAGACGCCTAGCGACCCCGGTCCCCGAAGGCAGAGGGTCAGCCGCTCCCGGGACGCCCAGGCAGCCCAACACAATCGCACTCCAAAGATCATTCTCTTCTATGGTATTATTTAACCATGCTATTATATGTTCATAGATTTTACTTTACAATTCCTTGAGTATGTGATATTTGTTTCTTATAAAGGAAAATTAGGTAAATATATATTTTTTCTTTACTTTTCAGGAAAAGCCTAAAAACACTAATTTATGTTTTTTTAAAAATGAAAAGTATAAAAAGAGATAAGCACCTTAAAATTTTGTAGGACACGCCATTGAGGAAAGGATATAAACATTCTTTATCTTATTGTTATAGTCCACAATTACTCAATGATGGCTATTACTTTATGCCTCATCAACATAAAGATACAAAATACTTATGACTTTTGTAATTTAAGAAAGAACAAAATAATTGTTTAGATAAGGAGGCTCCAGCACAACTTTTGACACACTGTGTTTTTTATTATTAGAGTATTAAGAAATGATTATCATTATGACATTGGAACACACACAAAAATGGTAGAAACAGACAGGAGAATAGAGAAAAGAAATAATCTAAAGCTCTGTCAGCCTGTCTTCAAAGATAATTTATAATTTTATTTTTAAGTTGAGGGCTCCATTTATGTCTGCTTCCTTATTTTTCCTAATAAAATGGGAAGACAGGCTCAGTATCCACCTTTCCATCTTGAATGCTTCCTGACAACCATGAATATGGTCTATTTTTGGCTAAGCGTGGATATTGGTGATATTTAATGCATTATAACAAGTGAATGTGCTGCTCAGACACCTCTGAAATTCATTTGGGAATTACATAAATTACCACTACATTAGGTTGCCATTAGTAACTTACTTAGAGATCAAATAATTATAATTCCCTTTCAGAATTAATTTTTATCATCTATGTTTCCTATTCCTTTCAAAATTTTTTTTCTTTTAAGAATCTCAAAATGAAATTTAGATATCTGAGACTTTATTTATTTATTTATTTATTTGATAAATAAATAAACTAGATATTAAACTTAGGAGCACTTGACCACTGATCCATATCCCTAGCTCTATTTCGTATTTTATTTAGAGACAGGGTTTCACTGAGTTGCTTTGCACCTCACTTTTGCTGAGGCTGACTTTGAACTCATGATTATCCTGCCTCAGCTTCCAGAGTTGCTGGGATTATAGGCATATGCTACCGAACCCAGCAATCTGAAACTATTTTGTGTAACAAGGCAAATAACCTCAAGCAGGTACCCCACTGTGTAAGGTACCTTAGACAACTGTCAAAAGCTTAAGGCTCAACATCTTTGGTCCCAGGGTCATCATCTGGGAAATATTATAATGAGTTGGCTACTCAATAAGACCTGGATACTGCTAGATTAAAGTAAAGGTGGATCCTTCAAAGGTTTCTTTAACTTAAGAAAATACCAAAAGAATTTATTTGATACAAAATTTTAAAATAGTAGTCAAATTTTCTGATCATTCTTTTGTAATTTCTGCTTCCAAAAGATGTGCTCCAGTTGCTCCTGTTGCATGCAGTGGCACACGCTTGTAATCTCAGTGACTCAGGAGGCTGAGGCCGGAAGGTTACAAGTTCAAAGCCACCTGGGCAATTTAAGAAACCCTGTCTCAAAATAAAAAAGATAGGGATTTAGCTCAATAGTAGAGCACCCTGGGTTCAACCACAGTACTGGAAAAAAAAAAAGCACTCCAACCCATCTCCATCAAAATATTCACTTATACTTTATGATTTTAGTGTTTATAGTTACTCTCTATTCTATTTTTTGTTTACCATTCACAAAATATTTTTGAGGTTATTATGAGAGGTAGCACCACATTTAAGCATTTCAGATTTAAGTCTTCTTGATTTTGCACATAAATGTGACTCAATTGGGTATAGATTGATGTGTCACATTTCTTCTTCTTTTTTTTGTGCCTTTAGAATGCAATCCATTTTCTTCCTGAATTAGCATTGACAAGAAGTGTGCAATTAACCTGATTGATTGTTGCATCTTTTTTCTGCCCAGATGCAGGATTTTTATCTTATATCTCTGAGATGACAGCAAAAGCCAGGAAGACTGGGTAGGTTTGGATGATGATCTTTCATTGATTTTGCTTTGTGTATGGTGATGATCTGTTCTGTAAGGGCTGAAGCATTTGGCCTTACTCTTTTATGTGTAGTACAGCCCAACTCATTTGTTCCTTCATTTATTTATTTACCTGGTATACAGTTTCCAGGAAATGTCATGGGAAGCCTACATCATAAGATAAAATGGGAATCTTATAATTTTGCACATTCTCTTTTCTCTCCCTCTCTCTCTCTCTAATTGTATTTCAAATACTGACTTTGCTACTTTTACCATTTTAGTGTTTTCCTTCTTGAGAAATATAAGAATAAACAAAATTAGGCAGGTAAAACAAAATATTATCATATGTGTTTTTCTAATATTTCAACCTAGAATTTGTAGAATTATCTTAAATTTGAATTAATATTTTATCTAAAGAGACAGCAGAAAAATTAAGAGATTATTATCCTATCACTTTTCTTAATTAAATTTCGAGTGGTACCACTTCATGTCTTCTTGAAATTTCTAGAGCATCAAAGTAACAGAGAGTCTCTTTGTGCAGTGTCTTCTGTTCCTGCGTCACACCGTCCTCCTCCCCTTCCCCCACTCTAGTCTGACAGTCTAGTCTCTCTGGGTTCAGCAGCATGACCTCCAAGGGCTGCACCCACCCTCCCTTGCCCTAGAGGATAGAGCCCCTGCCTCTTTCTTCTCCTCCCCCCACTCCTCCCTGCTACCTTCATGGTACACTTGAATCTTATTCTTACTTATTTTTCTAAACATTACCTTCCCCTTTCACAGTTCTTAAGACTTCTCAATTGACCTCATTTTCAGGTGCTACTGTATTGCCGTTGGGGCTGAACATACCTTAAGTATATTTCAACAAAAGTCTGCAACTGGGCACTGTCTGAGGTCTTGAGCAAACTTTCAAGAGCTACATTTCCTAGTTTTAAAGGGTAAAAGAATAGACTAATTATAAAAGAGAAATTCTATTTCCTTATAATGTCTCATGTAACAGAATTTATATTTTAATTTCCTTTTAATTTGAAATAAACTTTAATTATTTAGAAGCTTTGTTTGTTAAGAAGAATATAAAATATGAATGTAAAATATTATATCACACTATGTTAATGAGCATTTTTAACTATACCTGACCTATAATAGAATGTCTGGGAGGCAATAAATACTTATTAAATGAATGGACTGTAAAAAAAATAAAGAATGGATTGTAGAGAAGCACATATTATCACACTTGAATTAAGTGAATGTATTTACAGAAGAAAAAAATCCTTTGAAAATTAAATTTGGCTGGAGAATTGAAAATAAACATGATTTTTTAAAATAGGCTGCCTTTTACTTGAAAATTGTCCCTAGCCTGAGAAGTAAAAAGAAGATAGACAGATGAGTTGGGAAAGAGGCAATTAGAGAACAGCTCCACAGTCTTCTATGATCGTCATTCCTTTGATGATCACAAACTGACTGGAAGTGATCTGGATGCAAAAGATTTAGTATATTACTGACATTTTAAGTGATATCAAGGACCAACATTTCAAGCAACATTTTAGCTGGTAAACAGATGTGTTGCAGTCTGGAAAAATATTAAGCAAAAGGGCTGTTTTTATTGAGTCTAATTCTGATGCTTTATTATACAATTGATTTTTTTTTAATTTTAAGAATTTCCTCTTGTGTTACTTATTTATAAAGCAATGGGATATCACACATTGTTTTCTGGTTGATGGCAACAACTCAGAGGGAGATGCAGTTTGGAGGAGTACTTTGGATCCAGGGTACTGACACCAAATGTCCTGGCTCTGAATTCTCTCTCTTGTGTTTACTACTTTGTGAACTTAAAAAGGACTCACCTCTCTATCCCTCAGTTTCCTCATCCTGGATCTGAGAAATCGATGTCGAGATATAGATAAACCACTTCAATGCCTGGTACTTCATATGCAATCAATAAATATCAGTTATTTTTCTGAGAAGTGATCTTTCTACTGGTCCATCTCCAAGAATACCCCATTTCTACCTGGCTAGAATAGTAGGTGAAATGAAAATATTCATTTGATCAACAGGGAAAATACAAGATTTTATGACTATTTTATTAGAGATGAGTTAGTCTTTAGGAATATCTTTAGTCAATCTTTAGGGAAAAAAAATAAGCTACCTTCATTCAGTTTTCCAGTATAATTACCATTTGAGAGGATGATGTGGGAGCCCTCAACTCATATGATGTCCTTCTCTTCATATTATCAAGAGCACTTTAGTTTTTCAGAGTATCTAGTGTATTTCTAGTGTGATATTGTCTTATGACAACCTACTGTGGTGTCCAACACTCTGTGGTAGTCAGGTCTTGTGTATGTGACACTCTTTTTTCTTTCTCTTTTTGGTGTTGGAATTGAACCTAAGACCTTGCACATGCTAAGCACACGCTCTACCACGTGCTACACCTCCAGTTCTGTAACACTGTCTTTGATTCTCAGAATCTGCACAGTATTTTAAAAGGCAAAGGTTGTCTGAGGAGAGCTTACTCAGGAAGCACAGCAGCTGAATTCTCAAGTTACAAAGAAAGAAGAGGAAAATGTTGCTTAGAGATGCTAAAATCTGAGTAGTAAATTAACATACAGATACATGGTTATTAGACTTTTTCTGATTCTCCATATTGTATTCTAAGTATCTCAATAAGAACTTCAATGAGTTATCAATTCTATGTCTGTGTTGCTCACGTAGGGCCATAAAAGAAAGCAGATAAATGACAACAACCTTTAGTCTTTTATTAAAGTTCTGTGACCTTTAAGTTACAGAAACTTGGGCCATATAAACAAGCCAAGCTGACATGGTGACAGAGTTAAGCTGTAAAAATGTCCAATTTCAAGGGCAACCTCACAAGTGACTCAGCTGGTCAAGAAAGATGATGGAGAAACCAGAAATAATGACTTGTTACTAAATGTTGATACTTCTAAGTATGAACACCATGGGCAGCATGCAGAGG